TCGTACTTTTACGCAAAGTTTGAGATCAAAACAAATCTCAGTAGTGAATCTGCGTCCCTATTTCATACACCGCTTAAAAAACGTTCAGACTCACATTCCCATATCGCCTCGCTGTCCTATTCATTATGTTTCTTACGCTCGTACAGGCAAAGTGTTCATCAGTGAATAGTGTAACGAAAAATTTTATTCGATAACAATGCCCAAGCACAGAAAACGGAAAATCAAACACAATACACTTGCAGATAGAGCATCGCGCGAAAAAAATATAGAAACCGAATATTCTTCAGATGATGAAGCATTCAAAAACATTTTTAGACTATTTGGTACTTCGCAAATAGATTTGTTTGCTTCATACCAAAACAAAAAGTGTACAAAATTTATTTCCTGGTATACAGACCCGGAAAGTGAGGCAGTAGACGCATTTACTTTAAATTGGTCAACAATATACTTTTACGCGTTTCCACCATTCTCCCTTTTGCCTAGGGTCATTCAAAAAATTAGAAATGACAAAGCCAGAGGAATTGTTGTGTTCCCAGTATGGACATCGCAACCTTGGTTTCCATTTATTGAACAATATATGACATTAAGACCCATATTATTTTTACCAAATGAATCTCTGTTATCATCTCCTTGCAGAAAACCGCATCCAATATGGAGACATCTTACCCTGGGTGCAGCAATATTATCCGGATAGCATATCAAAAGAGAGGAATCCCAGAAACAGCAATTGATGTTCTGATTTCATCTTTAGCTGACAATACGTTAAAACAATACAACACAACATATAAAAAATGGTGGGCTTTCTGTAAACCCGAGGAAGCTTTCATTGCTGATCCGAATAAAATAATTGAATTTCTCAGCAAGGAACTCTCATCAGGGGGAAATTATAACACCCTCAACCAACATAGTTCGGCAATGAAAACTTTATTTCATATAGCAGATGATCATATAATATCTAGATTCATGAAAGGAGCATTTCGATTAAGACCTGTTTTTCCAAGGTATAACGAGACATGAGACCCACACCCGGTCTTAGCAAATTTTGAATTACAAACACCACTAGAATCATTGACCTTGGCATAATTGACTGAAAAATTAGTTGTTTTGTTAGCACTTGTGACTAGTCAAAGGGTTCAAACTCTTACAAAAATTAAAATCAGCACTCAGCAATATCAATACTTTTGAAAACAGAATATAGATAAACATAACAGATACAGATATCATCAAAACATCTCATCCTTCTGAATGTCAACCCAAAATAGTTTTACCCTATTTTTACCAGAAACCAGATTTATGTGTTACAAAACTAATGAAATATTATATAAACACTACGAAAAACATAAGAAAGGGGCATGACCAGCTACTATCTCCAATTAAGAAACCACATCATCCCGCGAGCTCTCAAACAGTAGCCAAATGGATCAAAAAGGGAGGGGTGGATACAACAATTTTCAAGTCTCATAGCACTCGACATGCATCCACTTCGGATGCATTCAAAAGAGGATTAAATATCGAGAACATTAGACGCACAGCAGGATGGAGTCATAAATTTCATACATTTAATAAATTCTATAATGTATTATTAATGGAGAGTGTGTGGAAGGTGATGGGAACTAAACTATTATTAATTTTTTTTCAAATACATTATAAAATTATCTAATAAATGTTAGTAATACTCAATAAAATTATTGTTCATGAACAAAAGGCTATTTAAAATATTTCAAAATAAAAATTTAAGAAAGAGATAGAGTTTTGAAAACACACAAGGGAAATATTCAACTTGCTTCAGATCGCGGCTAAACCTTTCAACATCTACAGTGTGATCTCGAGGACGGGACCATCGAAGTATAATTAGAGGTTAAACGACTCACCTGTAAGGAAGATCAATCCCCAATTATACGAGATAGTTCCGTCCGAAGAGATCACACCCACACACCACTTCATACCCAGAAGCCGCGATCTGAACGAAACATAATGAATAGGACAGCGAGGCGATATGGGAACGTGAGTCAGAGGCACTTTTTGATTCTCATTGATAAACATAACGACAAAAAAAAGGGTGTGAAACATAAACTACAGTGTGATCTCTTCGGACGGGACCATCTCGTATAATTGAGGATTGAACTTCCTTACAGGTAAGTCGTTTAACCTCTAATTATCTTGAATTCTTGTGTAACAGTTAATTGTAGAGACGAAGTTGAATTCACCCATTATATTGAGGAAATCTGAGGTTATTTCCGTTTTCGAAAATAGATTTATATCAATATCTCCTACTATTATATGAATGTCAATGTCATATGCCTGTCAAATAGATGTATAATTTCGTAACGTATTCGTCCTCATGGGTTGAAGGTGATCTATATGAAGCTGTTATTTAATTTTTTTTACAATCTTTCGATATTTCGATTTCTATGGCTTCACAGTTATTGATTCTATTATACAAGAATTACATCTCAACGTTTCTTTTACATATACAACAGTCCCATCGCATTTATTCACATTTCCATGATTATATATTATTTCATATTCAGGTTTATTATATAAATCTAAATCAAAGTCATCTCGAGCTTCTATCAGAATTATACAATCAAATAGTTCACCGAATTAACTTCCAAATGATCCATGTTCTTGGAAATGCTTCGGATATTATTGTGAAATATTTTGAATATATTATGACTTTTAGTTAAAGTATTATAATCTGAAGAATTTTCAGGAAGCAATATAGGAAATTCGTTATAGTTACAATTCCTAATGTACTGGTCCATTTGGAAGAATTTTTTGAGAATGACAGCTTAATTCATTTTATTTTTATTGACATGATGAAGCACACAAACAATTATATTGACAATTTCAAAACTAAAATATCAAATTTGTATCTAGACTTAGCAATATTTGACTCCTCGTATTAACACTTTTATTCGATTTTTGCATTCTTGGACTAATCTGCTTTCTTCCTTTTCAGAATGGTTTTTCTCGTGGACGCTGCGTATCCTTCTTCGTAATATTCAGAGTCAGTTTCAGTAATGCCACGTTTCCTTATTGTTTTCGGTTTTTGTTGTCGGTTGATGGTTATTTTCGGTTTTCTTGATTTGGTCCTCTTGCGCTATTTTTAGTTGGGCAAGTGTAAATATATCATTTTCAATGATGATCCCATTTCTCAAAATTTTCGAGTGCAGTCCTTTACTCTTACCATCTTTCATATATTCTGCAAGTTGACGCTTTTCACATATGTCTTCAAAACATAGATCATCTGTACTTCTAATGTTTGTTTCTTTCAAATTTTCCAAGTGGCTGATGTATATCTGTTTCTTCTTGAGGTGTGATACGAATTGAAGGAAAATAGGCTGCTCATTGATTTTTTCATTTATGTAACAGTTATCAATGTCTCTCTTTTCTTACTCGGTTTTTAAAGTATTTGTGAATGATTTTATAGATTCTTCAATGATATCTTGTGATTCACTTAGCTCTAGCCCGTATATTAAAAAGGAATTGGATTTCACTGCTCTTTCGAAATTCATTATTCGGTTTTTGAGGTTTTTATTTTCATTTTATGATTCTTCTAACTTTATTCCAGTTGCTTTCACTCCCAGTGTGATTTGAATGATGTCCCTTTTAATTTCTATTACAATTTTAAATAAATCTCCAATAGGTGCACTTTCGGGATTTATTTTTGCTGTTAAGAAGTCGTTCATATCAAATAAAAATTCTGGATTGGTTCGATTGGGATATTCAAGTTTGAATGCGAAAACTATGTACGAACCTACACCGATAAAAATGTTTTTGCTTTCTAGACAGTAGTTATCTTCTATTTCGCCGTGGTAGACAATATTCGCCCTTGTTAACGAGAATTTAAGGAATGTTCGATTAGTGGTATATTTTCTAAATGCCTTCATGTATTATTTGCTTGCCAATTTCGAATTTTTTGAACACGTTATTATACCCAGTAAAGTGATTATAAGTGGAGACAGTTTTACCTTCACTTCACCTCACTACAACAGAATGGATCTTGTATCTGGTGACTGGTTATGAGTTCTGATGATAGAATTATAATTTATTCTCTTATGGAAATCTAATATGTATTCCTTATATTCGTTTGCCGCTACCCATGGAAGCTGTGTATTAGTTAACGATGACAAAATCCTATTTTGAGCTACGCTTATTTCTATACTAGCGTTCGTACCCAGCTTTGTACTGGTAGCAGAAAATAGTGTCACATCAGCGTGTCCTAAAAGGAGGTTCGCGTTTTTACCTGACATGCGTGCTGTTGGAGATATAAGTGCTGAAAGTTCAATCCTCTATAAAGTTCCAGAACAGTTCAGAACATTCAAGAGTATTCGGGAGTTTTCCACAACATTCCATAACTTTCCAGAGCAGTCTGAAATGTGGTGAAATGTTCGGGAATAATCTGAAACTTTTGGTTTACCAACTATGAATAACATTATTAACGTTATTCGAATAACACTTTATTACGATATTTTGACCTAATAGTTTACAAAACCGAGTTTTCAGTATGAAAACGCAGAGGAAGTTATTGTATGGCGAAACACGTATTGCGGTTTTGTAAACAGTCCAGTGGAAATTTCACAATTGAGTGTTATTTGAGTAAGTTATGGATTTTCATCAAGAATCGGCCAATTCCATCACATACCTGTTTTGTTGTATTTCAAAGGGATTAGTCAACGTTTTCTCACGGATAACATCGTCATATTTCAACTAATCTACACAAAACATTATTATATTAAACACATATAGGTACTTTCCTCTGAATCACTCCGTCCAATGGTGAAACCCGTATGAAAATTTGTTCTGTAGTTTTTTAAGTTTATAGTGTTCAGAGAAACAGACATACGGACAGTTGAGTCGGGGACTATTTTTTATGACATGTATTGAAATGAGCTGTTTTGAATTTATTATATATAGCTCACGACAGTTTCATCAATATTTTGACTAATTTGACTGTGCTATTAGTGAAAACAATTTTTTCAATTCAGTTTTTGTTGCAGAGTCACAAACAATTGAAGATTTTGGAGCAGCATTACATCTGATGAGATCGGATTTGGAACATTTACGTTCAGTGTTCATGGCTGTAGAAAATGGAGACTTAGGAATGTTGAAATCGTTGGGGATTAAGGATTCAGAATTGGGAGACGTTAAATTTTTCTTGGAAAAATTAGTCAATACTGGCTTTCTAGACTGAACCATACTTGACCCTGCTGCTATTCTCTTCGCCCATCCTCAACCTCATATACCTTTAAGTAAAAATTTTTACTCATACCTTCCTTATTAAGTCTGTCTGTCTGTCTGTCTGTTTCCTTATTCAGCAGCAGAGTCCGTTATGATCCGTCCCCTATCATTCCTTTGAATCTTCAACCAAATATCGGCGACCCCTTTGGCTGTCTCGAAGGGTAGCCGACAATTGACGGCCAATATATTACAGACTTATGAATACATATCAAAGCATCAAAGGTCTTTGAAAACGGCACATATCATGTTAGATGTAATATTATGCGATAAGTGAATTTGTGATCACATTTAAGAAACCACAGATTGATATTTATTATTAGTGAATTGATACTTAATATAAATGTTATTTCAGATCTGAACGTTTTTGAAAGGATGTAACTCAATTTACTAGTATAATTGTGACCACTTTGGAGATATATACGAGGTACGACGTAACAATTATTGTGGCACTAATTTAGAATAAGAATAGTAATTAGTAAAGACACCGGCTGGCCGGGTTACTCGAAATGTTTTACTGTGTAGAAGAAAATGTGTAGTTTTGTGAAAACTTTGTTACAATTTGGTGCAGGGTAACAAAGTGCCGACATCTCTACGTTTTTTCATACCATGGAAAAGATTTTGAGAGCAGAAGAAATGCCAATTGACGAACGGATAGGTCGTTAGCGTCAGCGTTTTGAAGGGCCTAATGCGCTTTCACTCTGACGACTTTTCATGAACCAAAAAGCATTATGAAATCTATTAATCATTGTACATATCCCTCGGTGCCGGATAACGCAACTCTTCAAGATAACGACCTGACATTTAACATCATGATAAAAAGAGTGCGGAATTCGCCACCTATACAAATACCAGCACAATCACATCCGCAACGCGAAAAAAATTGTCTAAGTCAATATAAGATATATATACAAAAAATTTGTTGGACGTTAAATTGAAATAAAATGTAAAATTAGTGTATTGTTGATATCGAAATTGTGATATTTTCAAAGACAGACATGATTTCTCGAACATATACTCAATACGAAATGTTGATCCTATAGAAAAAGGTTGGAAAGAGAACCTATCATGAGGAAACTTCGTAACAGAGGAAACTTCAAATGTCAATGGATTACATGAAAATTGAATCATTAGAAGCTCATTAGTAAGACGAAACCAATTACTCAACTACCCAGAGTTAATAATCTGAATAACCTTCTCAACGAAACTTTGAGAAGATTATTCAGAATAAACTACGGTCAGCAATTCCGAAAAACCGACAGTAAATTGAACCAGATCGAAGAAGACTCATTTATTTCATCTAGTGGTAGAAAAAAAGGATACTTTTACTAAGTTCTATTTGCATACACTTGAAGGAAAAAATTAATTTGAGTTTCACAAGTTCGCTGTAAAATAAACACAATAATTCATATTGGAATTATCATTCGGAGACAAATAAACTAGTTTATTGACGAATTTCAAATATTCAACATGAGTCTTCAAAAGAAGGGTTCTACAAAAAATAATAAATGAGATAACATAAACAGAACAATAATAATAATATTTATTTACCATTCAATGAAATTTACAGTGTTCAAAAACATATGAGGTTTTATAATACAATTATCAGTGGATTCATCAGATAGGCAAACAAATAGAGAAAACCCACAAAGGCTCAGCCTGTGCGTGGGTATCAAAATTATTTGTTACCTTTGCGACTACAATGCATTTTTTTATTAGTCAACAATCAATTAAACACACATATATATGTACATATACCTAAACACACACTCATGAAAATAACATATTTACACTCACACAATCATTCACATATATACACACACATCTCACTATGTATACACTGAAATCATACAAAATTACAATTATATACTAATAATTAATTATTTTTTATGTCGATCCAGTGATGAATATTTGCTCTGGGAGTTTGTTTTAACCATTTTTTAATTCTAGATTTGAAGAGAGTAAGAGAGTTTATATCTCTGATATGGGCTGGTATACCATTATATAACCTAGGAGAAAGATAGGTACAGCTGCGTTGTCCAATAGTTTTTGACATTTTTGGTACTTCAATCGAATGTATTCTATAACGTGTATGATGTAAGTGATCAACAGTTTTAGCATCTTTGAGATTTTTTCGTTGATATACCAGTAATGTTAGAGCAAAAATTTGTCGTATGTCTATCAGTTCGGCTTCAGTGTATAGATCGTCGCTTGGGTAAGTATAGGGTCTATTCAAAATGATCTTAATAATCCACTTGTGGAGTGTCTCCGCGTTCTTATGGTAATAATTAGTGACCCCTCCCCATGCGATAATACTATACAACAGATGTGTTTTTACTAATGCATGATAGACAATTTTAATATGTTACTGATCTCAGTGTTTCTCAGGTATTTGAATTTATATACCATATATCCCAGTTTTTTTGTCAGATTATTTATATGCGTGTTCCACTTCAAGTTACTGTCAAGGGTAATACCTAAATAGTTAACTGTGTTGGTTTATTTGAGGTGTAAAAAAATCTGTTTTTTCCGTTAACCAGCTGTCGCACCCATACGAACGACAACCCTCAGAAGTCGAAACTTGTTCGAGCTAAGGATTAACGAGGTCTTACCTTTTAACGTGTGATTCCTAACACGGTTGGGTAGATTTGATTCGTAGCTTGTGAAAGGTGTGTACATGGTTTTCTTTAGATTTACAGTTAGTAGTTCACTACTGAAATATTCCATGATTACGGGGAATGAAGATGTCACTTGTTCTTTCAAGATATCCCAATTCTTTTCTTTGAAAAAGAATACAGTATCATCAGTAAAACAGGTTATCTCAGCAGGAATAGGTAGGTCGGGTAGAGAATTGATATAAATAATGAACAAAACTGGACCGAGCACTGTTCCCTGGGGGACCCCATATCTTATAGTTATGTTAGTACTCATTTTATCATCAATACTTACGCATTGTTTCCGGTCTTCAAGATAGCTTTCCATCAATCAAAGTGTGATCCCCCTGAATCCGATGTTCTCGAGGGTTTCTAGTAAATCTGGATGGCTGACGGTATCGAACGCTTTTGCGAGATCAACGAATAGACAAATGGCGGGCTCCTTCGAATCTAAAGCGTTGTACAGTTTTTTAATTAAATCCGCTATAGCGTCCTGAGTTGATCTCATTAGGCAACGCCACATATTTTTCGGGCAACTCTCATTTTTTCCACTTCACTTCTATAATAATTATACTTAGCCGCTCTAATCAAATCATTCAATCTATTTCTATATGATTTGAATTTGTTAAGGAGTTCATTGTTTCCCGGGTTTTTAGTTACTTCATGGTACATTTTATTTTTTTCATTTATTGAGATTACCAACCCATCTGAAATCCAAGGATTTCTTTTAATGTGTTGTGTTTAATGTTTTGTTATACACTGTTTAAGGACTGTGATGAAGGACTCAGTTGCTTCATCTGCGTTATTACTTTCATAGACATTCAACCAGGTTATTTCGCCAGCATTTTCCTCAGTTTATGGTAATCAATAAAAGTTTTGTATTATTTTTTTGAGTTTGTGTTTATTCTTTTTTCAGATTGGAGTTCATATTGTAGTATGATGCTTTAGTTATCTAAAATAGTACTCTCGAATACAAAAGGATGCAAATGTTCGTACTTTTCCTTGGTTTTGATAAAAATGTGGTCTAAACACGTTTTACTGCCACCTTGTACGCGTGTTTCTCTGTTTATCATCGAATTGAAGCAGTGCTCTTGTAATATTTTTAGATATTCATGACAATAGTCAGAATGTCCAGATTCATATTACTCGTAACTATATTTAAATCACATACTTGCTTATTATTTTGGAGACATTCATATAAGTGTGAATTGAAAGTATGAGGGCAACTTGATGGTGACCGATAAATTGACAAAATATACACCACAATGCCGTCACACTTGTTCAAATCTCCCTCTGAATATATAATGTCATATCCCTCCATCTCAAAGATATCCAAATTATGCAATCTCCAAGTTTCCGTTAATACTATGCAGTCAAAATTGAGGCTGAACCCTTTGAGCATCACTTGTAGTTCATCAAAATTTCTATGGAGACTTCTCACGTTATTATGTAATAGAGAAAATGCTTCACGTTCTGTTTCATTCAGTTTTTTGTTACATTTTGAGAGATTTGCAGTACAAAATGTGTCTATTTGAATCACCTTATAGTTTCTTATAAATGCATCCATGAATTACCTTCCTCTTTCTTCAATTATTGTTTCTTGATTCATTGAAGCGAGTTTCTATTTTATTTTTCTCTTCAAGCTCTTTTCTGGTTAGCTCTTTTTTAAGAGTACCAGTGAATAAGGGATCTGGGGAGGGAAAAGAAGGTTGTATTGGGTGTTGTCTAGTTCCTATAGCCAGTGAGTTTTCTATTTGTTGTTTTTGATGGATTTGCGATGGGTGGGTTGGGGTGCCTGGAGCGTTGTTAGCTTTTTCCTGCGTTTCGAGGTTTTCCGTTGCTTCTAGATCTTCCACCGTGTAAATCCTATTGTTAACGTGAAGCCTGTTGTTTCTGATGAAGCAGTTCGTGTTTTGATCTTGTTTGGTGACATATAGATGTTTTCTCAGAGTATTGTAATTTCGCCGTTGTTTTAGGGTCAAATCATGAGCAATGTATATATTCGTTTCCTTAAGTTTCTTCGTGCTCATCAGCACCGAAGATTTTTTTAGGTATGACACAAATTCCACTTTTATAGGTGCGGTTTCTGTTTTTAGAGAATAGAAATTGTTTAGGTCAGTCTCCTGGACCTCAATTCCAACTAATCTCTCAATCTCGCGTGTAATGTAATCTACTGTGATTCCCTGCCCTGGATGTTCCAGCCCAAATACGACGATGTTATTATTTTCTTTAGTTTTCCTTTCGAGTTGTTCAAATTTCTCTTGGATTATGGTATTTTCTTTTTCCAGTTTTTTCAATAGATTACTGAATTCTTCAACTTTCAATGAAAACAGAAACTAGTAATGATGTCAAGGTAACATTGACCATTGACCAATTTAATAGTTTCCAACATAAATCTAGAACTGAACGAATAATTTGCTAACTAAACTGATTAGTTCTATTACTAGGGATAAAACCTCTCATTCATACTAATTTTAACAACTCGTAATAACTCACTGATATAATTTTTGAAATCAAATGAAATATCTTATGAATTTTCGTCATTTTGCATTTAGTACCCTGATTTGAGTTCACATTCTTGCTTCCAATTTGATGGTAGAACAGCTTCCAGTGAGTTTCTAAATCTTTGTAAGTCACATGGAGATGAACACTCATAAGGTTCCAAAATTTCTGGATTACCATCCCATGAGTCTCTATAAATCATCTGAAAAATATAAATTATTCATTTATGAAGGTATAATGAACTCTAACGACATTCTTTTCAAATATTGGTTATGGTTATGGGCATGGTCCTGGAGTCTGAACAATACTTTGCATTCATTATCAACTAGTGGTGAGAATTCTACCTAAACATATTAGGCAAAATATAAAATTTTCAGCTTTTGAAATGGCGATATTTGAGAAATCGTGATTCATAGAAAATGAATTCATGTGGATTATGCTAATGATTTTACTACATTATTCAACAATCTAATATTATTTGTTGATTACCTTCACTCCTCCATTCGAGTATAATTCAAATATCAAAGAAGCTCCAAAACTCGGCTTCAGCGAAGTGCCAACAAGTTGCAAAGTTCTGAGGATGTGAACAAGTGTTATGTCGTGACCTGAATACAAGTACAATCTTGGCTCCTGTTCTCCCTTCAAAATTCTTTCCATTGAATCGATGATATTTTTGACAAGAACTCCTGTATGAAATGAAAAATTATTTGATAAACAAGTTTAATATGAACGAATTAAACAATGACTAAATTATATAACGATTTAACAAAGTATAAAATTCTGGTATGGTGATGTGAACCCTACCGCTGTTTTGTTAAATTGAAATGTGAGTCCACATTACTACATCTGAAAAATCTCTCAATATAGTTTTCACCTATAAGTAATTTAATCTGTATGATAATCGTGAAGAAATATCCATATTCTTTCTAACCTGATGCTAACATTACGAATATCGGAATACAGTTTTTAATTATATTACACGAAATCGAATCTTAGCAGCTCCTGTAGATTTTGTGTCTATCTGTTTAAAAAATATTTTTTTCCATTAACCAACTGTCGCACCCCTACGAACAACTACCATCAGAAGTCGAAACTTGTGCGAGCTAAGAATTAACGAGGTCTTACCTTTTAACGTGTGATTCCTAACACCTATCTCATTCTTGATACTCATAATGTAATGTACAATTATTGAACGAAAAATTGGTTGCATGCACATTTTGACGCACCCTCATAACCGATCGATTGATCATTCACATTTGTCTGCGATATAGCAAAATCAAAGTATAGAATCTACTCCTCTTCCTTTCACATAATATCTTTTGGCATGAAGTAGCCGAAATATTCACCCCTTTTCTGATAGTGTCTTATAGTTGGGTAGAAGATGTCAACATAAACAATAAATAGGGAAGGAAATCTCCCTTACGAAGATCAACAGGAGATGCATATCAAAGAGACTTCCTAAGCCGATCCGCTGTCTAAAAGTCATGCTTCGACATCGACCTCATCAGCTTAATGAAAAACCTGATGTGTTACATTAAAAATCTAAAATGAATAGCCTACGCTTAATTGGAGTCAATGAGGAAGCAGATGAGAATTTGATCGGCAATAAATGATGGAATGAAAATTAAATGTGCTATATTCGAACTGAACAGAGTATTCAGAGTAGGCAAAATCTCCGCAGATCTTACTAAACCGAGGGCAGTAATTGTAGACTTTGTCACCAACCTGAAGCGAACTGAAGTTTACAAAGCCAAATTCAATCTGAAAGGAACAGGAGTTATCATCAACGAGGATTTAACAGACTATCGCTACAAGCTACCCCTTCAAGCAAAGAAGAAATTTGGTAATAAAGAAGCATGGTCGCATACTTGCAAAATTTATGCCAAATGTGATAACACTGTAAAACTTATCCGTCAAGAAGTGGATCTGGCGAACTGAAAGGGAAAAAGTTTGAAGTTGAAAAACAACTATTGTTAGTTTAGGTACCTCATTTTATCTAAAACCTTTGATATATAGTGCTTAGTTTTAATTCACGATAATTGGAAATGTGTTCTAATCCATTTAATCCGTTACCTATCTGATAATGCTGTAAGTGATTTGAATACATATCCATATACATTATTTATTTTCTACTCAACAAACTCTACTAATAACTTTAACTACAGACTGAGCTTACTGATGCTATGTTATGTTTAAGACTATAAATGTGTACTACCAGAATTGCAGGGGTTTGAACACTAAAACCAATGATTTTTTTAGAAGTACATCAGATTGTAACTTCGACATCATCATAGCTGTCGAAACGTGGTTGCAAGAAGAGATTAGTGACGGCGAAATTGTTGATACAATTGTGTACCATCTGGCGATAGCCAACAGGGATTTGCAAATAACGAACAAAACTACTGGCGGAGGAGTCCTTATTGCTTTTAAAAAGGAATACACTTTAATCAAAACTGAAAAAAACTGTACTCAATTTGAAGGTTTGGCTGTACACTTAAAAGCAGGTAACAAAAAAATGTCTATTATCGTGTTATACATACCCCCAAATTGTTCAAGTAATGTGTACGAGTTGGTATTTGACTTTGTACAGAAACAGCTAAGTTAATACCGAAGATACATATATTTTTGGAGATTTAATTTTTTCCGAAATCAACGGTAGTATGTTGAAAGAAAAGGACACATATAGAAGGCTTCAGAAAGTATCGAATTATTACAAAGAAAAATATATTGTAATGAGACGGAAATTGAAATCAATTATAAAAAAGGAAGAAAGTAGGTATCTTAAAGAGCTGCAGGATAATGTGTCAGATAATGTGAGCTATTTTTGGAACTATGTTAGAAGTCAAAAGGCAAACTGTACTGATGCCGGAAATTTTCTATATAAAAGTAACGTAGTGAATGTAGAGGACACTGCTGAAGTCTTTGCAGAATTCTTTTCTTCCGTATATGATCTGAATAAAGCCTCCTATAGCCTAAATACAGATATTGTAGGGGACGTTAACGATATATTTTCAATTAAGGCTATTTCTGAGGCAGATTTCGAGGAAGCAGTAATGAAATTAAAACCAAAAAAACTGAAGGCACTGATGGTATCCCCCCTTTGTCCTAAAAAGTTGTAGTGGATGGTTGAAGAAACCACTTGTTCATATTTTCGATAGAATTCTTGAGTCGAGAGTCTTTCCAGAGCAATGGAAAACAGTCATCACCACACCAATCTATAAATCTGGTGATAAGACGAACATTGAAAATTATCGACCAATTTCAATTATGTGTGCTCCGTCCAAACTGTTCGAACAGATCATATACAGTAAATTATATCAATATACTGGAAAATATTTAATATCTGAGCAGCATGGATTCATGTCATATAAGTCGATCAATACAAATTTGTTCATATTTGGAAAACGGGTATTTGAAACATTTGGATGTAAATACCAAATGCATACGGTATTTACCGATTTCCGCAAAGCATTTGACCGTGTAAATCATGACGTACTTTTAAAAAAGTTGACATGGTTCGGATTAACGAAGAATTTTGTTGAATTAATAGAGGAAATATTATTGCCAGACACAAAGGAAATGTATCAGGAAAATATCATGCAAACTCTGGAGTGCCACAGGGTTTCAATTTGGGGCCTCTCCTCTTCATTATATTCATAAATGATTTATCTTCAATTATTTAATACTCGGAATGCCTCCTGTTTGCAGATGACCTCAAAGTATATAAAAAATACAGTCATTATGGGATTGTGTTATGCTGCAAAAGGACATGAATAGTATTTATGAATAGAGTCTGATTGATAAACTGCATTTCAATCTCACTAAGTGTAAAGTGATGAGTATAACTCGAAATAAAGAACCAGTTATCTTTAATTATGTGATGGGGGGCAGAGAAACTAATCAGATGTACAGAAATTAAGGATCTTGGTGTAACCTACAATATAGTTTTTTCATTTGCGGAGCATATAGGAAATATAGTATCCACCGCCAACCGAACACTAGGATATGTGATGAGGCAATGTGCAACTTTCACAAATACTACCACAATAAAATTACTCTATTTTGCGCTAATGAGACCTGAGTTGGAGTTTGCATCATTATTGTGGTTCTCGGAGTATGCATCCTCATTACATAAAATTGAGAGAGTACAGAATACATTTTCAAGAATATTGTATTATAGAAAATACCGTTTGTGGCCTGACTATAACACAGTTAGACCAACTCATTTAAGAAATGAATTTAAAATAATGTCCTTGGACCAAAGAAGAAATCTATCTGCTATTATGTTTCTGTACAAGGTGATCAATAGTAAATTGAACAGTCCCGAAATTCTTGCACTTATCCCTTTTAATGTACCTGGGCGGCGTACTCGTACAATACTTATTTTCAATATACCAAATTCTCTCTTGAATTTAAGAGCTTCTCTCGTATGTATTATGAAATTAATCAATAGTTACAATGTATTTGTAAATGTAGATTTTTCTCTACCTCCTAAAGTTTTTTTTACAGTAATTATTAATCATATTCTGAACATCTCCTTATGAAATGTTACAGATCTCAAAGGATTTTTCGATATCCTCAATACTTTTATTGTGGATTGATTACAAGCCCCAGCAATTCATGATATATTATGTTTATGATTCAGGTTCATAGCTCAATTACTACACCTCAAGTATTTTTTGTAAAGCTGTTAACCATGTAATGAAGCCATCTTGGCCTGTTTGGTTAAAATCAAATGAATAAATAAATAAATGAAAATAGTGCCATGGGTATAAATGAATAGACGTACAAACAAAAAATAATGAAATAAAATAATTGTGAAGGTTTTCAAAAACAAGCCACCTTATTCTACCGAAAATAAAGTATACCTACACAGTAGTGAATACATTCGTCATAATTGAATTTTGTACTCTATATAGTTGGCAAGTTTAGTGAAATTGAACAAAAGTATGTATTGAATATAATTTTGAATTATTCATTATATTTATTTTCTGTCGAAGGAATTTCCTATTCTGAGTAAAACTTATTCATTTATTTTTTCAATACAGTCGCTGAGTGCACTCAGAGAAACCTTGTTTCAAAAATTATTGTTTTTACTTTTTCTTGCTCCGAGAGGCGGTACTTCAATATCTCATTAACGGTCCTGATTCACTTACCTCTCCGATATTTAATGAGTATATTTTATGATTTCAAATTTTTCGAGTATCCTTTATAATTCAAGTGCCATTATCTCAGGAACAAGTTGCTCAAATTCGAAAGTAAATACATCGTTTTATAACAGAATGAAAACTTAAACTCAAAAATCATCAGTAATGATCACATTTGTAGAAATTGGAGGGTGTGACCTGCATGAGGAGAGTCTATCAATACACCGTCTCGATTCCCTCTACGTGTTTTTGAAATTAGGGGAATGATTTTTGGTTTCAAAACATCGTTGGTGGGAATCAGTTCACTGATAGTTATGTCAGAGACATAACAGTCTGTACAGTCTGTGTGAGTCTTCTCGCTCATCAAGGTAATGAATAATGATTTTTATTCCTGTATATCATCCTACACTTTCATTTATGTTACATTGTACTTGAATATTGATCTGAACACATTCAGAGTGATAATTACACATTAACTTGCTAGTGACTTCATCAAAAATACTTTTCCTATACCAGAACAAAATACTGTCCCTTGAGTGCGACTCGCTAACCCAGCGACCTTGGTCGCTGATTATAGATCTCATTCCACCTTGTTCAATTTGTGAACTTTCGAAGGCATCTAAAAACCTGTTGTCATATACCGGTCACAACATTATCAAGCATTCCTTACTTATTCTGTGGCTAGACTTACCCGTTATGTTGAAGTGTACGTGCAGTTCTGAAAACTATTTTCATATTCAATATTTTGAAAATTTAAACCAATACGTTTCTGTATTTTGGTTGGTGTTAATATTTTTGGTGGTTTGGTGTTAATATTGACATAAGTAGAATAAACTCATTCGTGACATAAAGTTGTAATTCTATGAATGAATTGAGTTCTTACAGCGAAACATTGGATTTCTAACAATGAGAATGGCAGTGTTCCATGAGAGTGAAATTTCACCTCTTTCATTCACTATATTGTATAGCAATCCTGTGAATGTTTGAATGTGTTTGACAACGTTTCATGGTGCATTTCATCAGTTCGGACTTCCATTGTCTATATGATATAAAATGATTTGAAGTTCCTGAAAGAATCAATGAAATTAAAAAGATCAGCTGAAAAATAACAATTATATTAAGCAAAAAACTGAAATTTTAATGAAATAGAATACAGGCAACAATTGAAAATTGAACAATTAACAAGAAATGAAAATTAAAAACTATTCGTCTTCGGGTGATTGCTGGACTTATTCCTCCGAAAGATGATTATAGACCATTGCCAATCGAATGCTTTCATCTATCCCCTCTTCCCTCTCCCCTTGTCTTGGCGGATCTTCAAGCACGTGCTTGAAAGCTTGGCAAAGACTCACACGGGACAGTATCTGAACCAGGAATCCAACAACCATCAATCGACTAAGAAAGGAATCATCAGACTCTAGTCGACCGTGATTTTGGATTCTGTAATACGAAGTGAAGTCTCGAGAAGATACTAAGCATCATCAAAAATGATCTTCAATGGAATGTTTACGCCAAAATGATGGTGGAACAGACTTTGGCTAGAATACAGCAAGAGCCTCACAAGGAAGAGAAGCCATCACAACCAGTACATGTACTTTTCTATGAGTACTATCGGAAGGGATAAAAATGATTTTGTCCAAGTATAACATCAGAACCTGCTTCAGATCCGGAAATACTAACCGTAGCAGCCTCACGAAAACCAGGCCACCAAACGCAGGCTGCGATTCCAAGAATTGCATTTACCGGATACCCTGCCAGTACGGAGAATCATACATCGGTGAAACTAAGAGGCAATTGAAAGGTCGCAGTGCCGAGCACAAGAAACATACACACAGTATGTCTACAAGGAGGAACACTGGTTCAGGAGAAAATTTATAGAAGCCGCATATATGTTGTCCAACAACGCATTTAGCCAAGCTAGCGTAGAGATATGCAACATATGGAAACCAATTCAGGTGAAAACTATTCTTTATGCTCAATTGTCAGATCTTTCAATACTTATTTCAATGCTATTGAAAAACTGGTTACCTTTTCTTAGATTCAAAAACTATGTGGAATCAATTATACTTAGTTATCGGTCCTACGTATATTGTTCATTTAACTTTTACTCATATTCGTTACTAGTGTAATGTACTTATCGTTGATATATTGTTCACTTACTATCTTTCTATTGTAAAATCAGAATAATTTTTAGGATTCATTATGTTTGTATCCTCATTCGTACAATAAATAAATAAATGATTAAATTCATTGTTTATATGAAAGTAGCTATTTCGAAAGGGCTTTTCTACCAATTTGTATCTGAAAGTTACTTCTTTGCGTGATCTTACCTTTTTGCGTGATCTTACCTTCCTTGGAAGATTCCGACATTTTTTTGTATAAAGATGGAGAAGTAAAAAACCAAAACCTTTCTTTTCCAAAAATTATTCTCTCCTGAAAATATAAGCCTTTCATGACAGAAAAAAGAGAAGTGAACAGACACATACAAATGTGAGGACTTATTTCCTCACAAACAGAGCAGTTAACATTTGGAACTGCCTTCCATCCATGTGTGTGTGTGTGTGTGTGTGATATCCGGCTCTATTGAACTGTTTGAAACCCGCCGAAATTCATACCAGTATGTTTTGTGATATCGCTGTGATCCTTGATAGATTGTATCAGACATTATATTGTCATAAAGACTTATATTCGTAATACACGTTTTTATACCATTGTGACAATATTGCCACATAGAATTTATATAGTGAACTGGAAATTATATTATTTTATTAATGAAACGGTTGATTTCATTAATTCGGACTTGCATTGTCCAATATGATATCAAATGATTTGAAATCCCTGAAAGCATCAGATACACACAGCGAAGAGAAACCAGCAAATCAGAAATAGCAGAGCATGTTTGGATTCATCAACCTAACATCAAGTGGTCCCAAGCTGAAATCATCCACAGGGAGAAACACTGGTTTAGGAGAGAATTGGAAGAAGCCGCATATATGTTGTCCAATAATGCATTCAGCCAAGCTAGCATAGAGATACGCAACATATGGAAACCTATAATCAAGCTAAAAACGGCTAACTCCCGCCAAACGGTCAGCTCCCGAAGACGATTGTAGATACTTATAATCGAAACTTCATGAAGTAACTTGGCTTGAAATCTTTTAATTTTAATTTCTTTGTAATTGTTCAATTTTCAATTGTTGCTTGTATTTTATTTTAATTTTATTTCAAGGTTTATTTTTGCTCAATATGATTGTTATTTTCAGTTATTCATTTTAATTTCATTAACTCTTTCAGGAATTTAAAATCATTTTATATTATATCAATATTAGACAACGGAAGTCTGAATTGATGAAATTCATCATGAAAAATTGTCATCCACCTTCAAACAAACAATAAGACGGTTGCTAAAACTGAGTATTATGTGCAAAGGTTATGAGCTATGTGATTCTTTGTATATGTAAAATCAACTTTTGAGCTGCTGCCATATCAGTAAAATGAATAAAATTAAATAAATTTTTTTGAGAATTCGTCTTTTTGAAAAGTCAAGGATTCACGAAGGCACTGTCTGAATATTTTTCCCAATAAAATTATCCACTACGTTTGCAGAATACCCAATATTTTCAGCTATTTTCTTGGTATAACTTTTTCTCTATATTATATCTTTCTTTGCTCCATGGAAGTGTTACCAGTCTATTGTCAAGAAAATGTTGTTGTGGACAATATGGTGGGAGTTGTCAGAGATACGTCTGAAAGTGGTGAAGTTGCCAGTGTTCTCGACTTGAAATCAAGATCAGCTAGTACGTTCTATCTGAAGAAATATTTTTAAAATACCGATAGCTGTAAAATATCAACTATTAATTTTTATGGCCCCGATGAGCTGTCATTTTCAATTTCTAGATTTTTTATGACACCATTGAAGCAAATTCAATAAATTGAATACAACTTTCTCAAATTCTAATACGAAGTCTCCGACAATCATCGACAGAAATTATGACAAATGAACAGTCTTGTTTTTTGCAAACAATGTGTAGCAGTATCTGAACTCACCTCCTTTGACTCTCTGCATATACTGGGTTTCTGAATATAGTGCCAAATTTCGGGCAGCTAAGACTCTCATAGTTTCCATGAGAGTTTCATTTACCCAAGTTGGCAAAGTCAAATTGTTCAGCTCCTCTATTTCTAAGGTATTGTATATATCTTCAACGCCTTCGATGTTAGTTATGTTTTGGCCCGTGTGTTCAGTCAAGTAGTCCATTAAATTTTTATGATTTGCTTCCAATTCGAGAATTTCTGGTGACACCCTCATCTGTTCGAACATTTTATCGTACTTGTCACATGGTGCCTTCATCGCAATCATCTGAAAAATGAAGCGAATTTAATACCAGGCATATGACGTATATCTGATGAATATTTTTAACGTGGTTGAAGAATATCTAGTACAAAGAGTGTGAATTTTCACGGCCAGAGAAACTGCAGACCCCATGCAACAAATCCGAAAATTATCTTCAACATATATATCCAATACATACTGAAGATGGAATATTGTGTGGTGAAGCCAACTTTAACGTATGATTTTCTGATTGATTAGACCGTTACTTTATGAAATCTAACGTATTATTCAGTATAATTATTCAATCGGACGGGTTAGATGGCAAATGAGATGAGAGTTGCAGAAAAAGACGGAAAGCAATTATTTACGAGGATGTATCTTAGCGAGTCTGGACAGGTTCAGTGGATGAAAAAGTTACGAAGAATAATTTGTTAGTGTAAGGTTCAACGAAAAAAAAGTCAAACCAGGGTGACTCAATCAAATTTGAAAAAAAAGCGAACCGAAATTGTTTTTGAAGTACTTGTATTTGAAGAGGTTAAGTAAGCAGATTTACAAAAGATATGCTCAATATCCTGGATGATCAATGTCTTTCGTATGCGACCGTGAAAAGTAGATTGTGAACTTTAAAAAAGAGACATTTTCCATTGAAAATCAAGATCGATATAGAGGGCCAGTTCTTGTGCCCACCCCCGTGAATATCGTAGCAGTCAATGAATAGCGCCTGTCGAATAGGGCTAAAACGAATATCTAAGGCATTAAATATGTGCTATGCAGATTGTAGGACCAAATCTCATTCTTTTTTATACCTCACACCTTTTCGCTAAAGTAGGTCATAGACAAACAGGATGGAGGAAACAAATATCGGTTGGGTGGTTGTATTAGATGACAACGAACTCGGGGATGAGATTTGAATAATATTAATAATAATTGTAAATCATGAAAAATGAACATTAGGAATTGACGCGGCAGAAACTGTGAGTAGATTGGGATATAGAGTAGGCATTTATACCGAGGGCTGTCAAAACATGTCAACAATACTAAGTTGTATCTTCGTTAATAATAGTCAGATTGTCGTGTGCAGCACATCAAATGGAAGGAAAAAGGCATGCATAATTTATTGACAAAAAAAAACAAAGATGGCGGCATTCCACAAAGTTACTGAGCCGTATCTCTGTTAATAATAGTCGAATCGCCTCGTGTAGCACATGAAATGAATGCTGAATCTATTGACAGAGGAAAAAAGGATGTAGGTAATTTCAATATGACTGTTATCGGTCATTAACGGTCTCTCGATGCGCGTATCGCTGACCAAGTTAGCATCCTCAGAAAATGATTAAAACTGAAAAATCCCAGATATGGGTACACATAACATAAACGTTTAATAATGTGTATCAAAATACATCGTTGGAGAAACAAATTATACGGTAAAGAGAGGTTTAGCGTTTCAACGTTTTCGATCCCAATGATCAAAAATACATCGTTGAAGGAAAAACCATAGCAATTTGAAAAGGTCTAGCATTCTACCGTATAATGTCCCCAATGAGAAACGTATACAGGGTGCTCCAAAAACACATCGTTAAAGAAAAAACATGGCAGATCAACGGGGTCTAGCATTTTAACATGGTGTGATCCTGATGAGAAACATATATAGGGTGTTTTAAACATGATCGTTTATAACCTTCGATGAGGAAACAAATAAATCAACTATCGCCAGTCATCTATCTTCGAGATAAAATATAATAATGGTCGACATCTGAAGAGTTAAAAATCAGATCCTTGTGACACAACAATGACTACGTTTGTTCTGTTCCATAACGACGTACGCCCCATGATAACTGTTTTGGAGATACAGGAACGCATGTACGCGCTCAGTAAGCCAACTTCATTGTCTTTGTAGATACATCAACGATTGGCGCAATATGTCAGAAGGGCACTAAGCTGTATATTCTTTAATAATATTCGAATCGCCGCGTGAAGCACACGAAAGGAGGTGAGCAATATATGAATTACCGAGGTGTAGGATCTTTACCATTCACAAAAAAAATTGAACTTCTGGTTTATTGAAACTGAGATAGGAGAAAACTGATGGTGAATTCGGATTGCTCACATCAAGGAAAACATTTTCAAGCATTTTTCGATGTTGATCGGGCTCAGGAAGCTAACTTCGTTATTTTTGGAGATACAGAAACGTGTGGATACTCTAACCTCACAATTCTTATTGAAAACCACGAAAATAAAAAACATAGGTGTGTAACGTGAATTTTATTCATTAAGGTAGTAAGTATATTACACTATGGAGCGGTCATTTCTGTCATGGAAGTCGCATAAAAATTTAGCAAATAAAATGCGATGAAACGGTCATTTTGGGTACTTTAATCGCATCGAAAAAAGCGCATTTTCATATTATTTGCTTCGTAACATGTCACGAAAAATGGTGTAAAAATTGTCATTAGAACCGCTCTGAAAGTCGCTACATCATAAATATTGCGCTATGTAGCGTACATTTCTGTCGCGAAAATCGCATAAAAAATTTCACAAAAATTAAAGCGCATATGAAGAGTGATTAAGAGCTAGGATTCTTTTTTGATTATATATACAGAACGGCTTATTCAAACTGTAAAAATATAGCGCGATGAGGCGTTCATTTCTGTTTCGACAAACGCAAACAATATGGCTATACTGAAATCGTCAATTATACTGTTGTTCCCATATTAATGTACCGAATAAGGTTATTAAACTTCGTACTGAAATCGTTGTCGACGGCTTGAATGAATAAAATATTGAGCTGTACATCTTTTTATACTTTATCGATAGGTTGCCGATTAATTTTCGTCTGGAAATACAGACTGTCAGCTGATTGAATCCATCTCAAAGTTACTATACAAATTCAGTATTGTAAATTTCAAAGAATAGAATTGCCTTCAGATGTTTTCATATCAACATAGGAATGAAATGGAAATATTTTTTTCAAAAAATTATATAAATTGTTTTGGATAAAAACGATGTATTTTATTTCCAACTTATATATGGAAATATTATGCAGAATTTCAACTCGTTATCAGTTATAGAAAAACAACAGACAGTTCTGCTGATCAGCTAACAGCAAACCAGGAAACCTTTTCAGCTTATGAAAGATACCTTAAGGTATAACGAAGCTGCAAAACAGACAAACTGATCAATTTTATGGTGAATCTGCCATAGGTTTATCAAAGCAGTTTGATGGACCACAAAAAATAAATTTAAAAACTGAGTTCAATAACTTTTTGCGCGATGTTTGACATATTCACAAAAATTGTATTACTTTGAAGATCCGGAATACCAAGCAATGGAAATTTTATCTTTGAAAAAACCAATCACATGGACCGGAATTACTCGACTCCAGGAATTATCAAATATTGACTCAGATAGTGACAAATTGTACGAATAGGTGGACTTTTGCGTGAGATGCAACCACATCTCGTTGAAGAATCGAGTGGATTTAGGCTAGTTTGACTTCTTTACGGAATCGAAAGACAGAAATCCTTGTCCTGAATTGAAAAAAAATGGTCATGTTTGGTTTTTCCATTCCAGTCTCTGATGCTTCATGCGAGCGGGAAGGACTATTTCGTTAGTAAAAGCAGAGTTGAGTACTAACAAACTTCGATTTTTCATGTAAAACTTTTATGATTTTGTGGTGAAAAACCGACAAATATTAGATGTTTCTCGAAAACAAAATGAATATGAATTTAAAAATTAATTGATAATAATTAATTCGTTCAATCCCTGTTCCCTCGATAAATTTCTCAAAATTCTCCGGGGTTGGTCCTTTCGAGAGTTGGCAACCCTACGTACGAGTGTGAGAGAGATGGAGAGCACATCGAGCGCCGAAGCTGATCCGTTTCAAAAATTAAAAAAATGTAACTAGCATTCCAATACGATCAGGTGTCTCAAACATGATCGTTCAAGAAAGAAACATGGCAGTTTAACAGAGTCTAACGTATCAACATGGTGCGATCCTTATGAGAAACGTATACAGGGTGTTTCAGAAACACGTTGCTGAGGAAAAAAACATGCCAGAGATGCGATAGAGTATACAATAGGTGTTGAAATGCCAAAATATATAATGCTTTGAAAATACATCTTTGAAGAAAACAAAACAATAATCGAGGAAAAATAGTGACTCTCCATTTGCCATTAAGACAAAAAATGATGGCTAACATCTGAAGAGTTTAAAATCACATCCTTACGGCATACCAATGACAAAACGGCATACAATGACGGAAAATAAGCACTTCTGGTTTATGAAAATTCATATAGAAGAAAGCTGATAGTGAATTCGTATTGCTCACATCAAAAAAAGTCCGAATCTGCAATGGAATATTCATTTTCGGTTTTCACTTTCGGTGGTCCAATTCCGACATCAATTGATTCGTCAGTCAAGAATCATAATTGAACGTTTTCCGGCGCCAATGGGCTCAGAAAGCTAACTTCGTTATTCTTAGAGACGCAGAGAGGTGCGGATATTCTTACTCCTCAATTTCTACTGGAGAACAGAAAAATAAATGCCATAGGTATTTAACATGTACTCCATTCATTTTCATAGCACATTAGAAAGTCATTACTACGAAATAACGACGTTATTGGAACTGCAGCTAATCGGACTTCCTTTGGAACGATACGCACAGAACGGGATATTTTTCTTGAATTTTGGAGCGGTATATTATGAATCTTCAGAGTCTTCCAAATTTCCCACTGCCATGTGTATATTGAATATGTACAGTCTGTCATCCAGAAAGACTTTCTTTCAATAGGTACACCATCGAAGTTATACAAATGACTGTAATAACAACGTATTCCACAATTATTAAGTTAAGAGAACTATTTTAACGTTATGGTTCAACTAAGACACTTGTAACAACGGTTCGCAACTGACTTCAGCTGAACATAAAACCAATCCGCCTTTTTTGGTGGATTGTCGTTTCATTTGGAAATATCGCTATCCATTGGGTAGAGCCCTCCAGTTGGTTAGCTATTGGCCTAGTAATCCT